CATGAGGGTAAGAAGGCAGTGGGCATGAAGTACACTTACATACATGAGGGTAAGAAGGCAGTGGGCATGGGCATGAAGTACAGTCACATGAGCAGCCCTTGTTTGTCTTCCAGTCTTGCCTCTGTGTCACCTCCATGCCAACACCAGGGTCCCTGTGTCTTCTCAGGGAAGCATTCCAGGGACTCAGCCCATCCACTCCCCGTCTGCCTGGGGCAGCGTCTTCACCCAGCTAAGCTCCTTTATGAACCTAATGGGAGCCTGTTTCCCTGCAGTGGGTATCTGTCTGGGAAGATGGCCCGTAGGGCCTGCAGGGCCTCACTGAAGGCTTGGCCAGGAAGCCTTTCCAGTCAGAGTGACCTCAGGCAGTCTGTCCAGAAAGGACTGTTTCTCCTTCATTGGACATTTGGACAGGTGTCCAAAGAACTACCGTCCCTGTCCTAAAGGGTGCCAGAGGCTACTGAGGCAGATTGCAGGGCTACAGATAATGTGACCACAGTTGTGGCCATTGCCTGGAGTGATGAGGAGTGTGGAGGTGAAGTAGAGGGGGACAGTTTTAGGAACTTGCTGTGTCAGGGGAGAAGCGTGCCTAAAAAGTGTGTGTGGGTGTCACGTCTGTTGGTGCATCGTGTGTGTGTGTGTGTGTGTGTGTGTGTGTGTGTGTGTGTGTGGTTAAAGACCTGAAGAGAGAGAGAACTATCTGAAAATGAAGGTCACATTGTGAGGCCTGAGGGCACGCATGGAACAGGGCAGGGCCATGCAGCCCTCTCTTTAGGCTCGGCTCTGTTCTCCAAGTCCTTCCTGTGCTAGAGGTCGCCTGGGGCCATCTGTAGTCTGTTCGTGCCCAACAACTTCTGCCCAAGTCACATGGGCCACAGCCGGGACTAAACAGACCTGCCTGGGGTTTTGCTGCAGTGGCTACACAGGCTTTCCCTAGGGAGGTCATCTCATGTGAGCCAGTAGCACACTTGTAGCCATCTTCTAACTTCTGGCTGTTAGTTCTCATGGTGGGGCCAGATGAATCAGGCAAAGGCTCCTGTCTCCTTCCGCTGGAAGCTGCCCTGACTAAAGTCCATACCTGTCTTAGTCTTGGTCTATGAGCAGATCATGGAGGATGGAGAAGGGCAGCCAGGTGGTTCGGTGCAGCTACACCCTGGGCAGAGTGGCACAGCTGTGAACCTCAGGCCCAGGACCACTCATCCCTCTCCTGGTTCTCCCGACATGGCTACCTTGACCTAGTCTGCTGCTAGCCTCACTAGCGTGGTGAAGGAGGGAAGGCTGTTTTCCCAGTTCCCAGAGTGTCTTAGGAAAGAGAGGCAGTCCAGAGCCCCACCGTGGCGAAGAAAGTGTGGCCTGCCAGATTGCACAGTGTTGTGTCAGTGGTAGCTGTTCCCATGGTCTGATAGTTGTTCCTGTCTGTCAGTCCTGCACTCATTGTGTGCCTGGGACATCAGCCGTCTGCAGCACCCCTCTGCACTGATGTGACAGTCAAATTCTACCCTGCCCCCAAGTATCAAATCATTCATGGTTTGAGTCTACCTGTCTCTCCCTTTATTCCCAGCAGAGACATTGGGCAGATCACCTAATTATTTCTCTTGTGAGTCAGCCACCTCAGGAAGTCACTAAGCCTCAGGACACAGTGGCAGCCAGCGTGACTAACCTCTGATAGAGTGCTGAGAGCATTCTGTGCCACTCAGGGGATGTCAGGTCTGGGTCTGAGTTGTGACCCTTCTGTAGTCTCCTGAAGAGTGTACAGGTACACAGCTCCCAAGTGACAAATTCCTGGGTGCAGAGCTGCCCAAGCTGGCCCTCTGTATTAGCCCCCTTCCCTTCAGAGTGCTGGGGTTCTAGGCCGAGCTCTGTCTGATGTCATCTCCTCTGCTCCCTCCAGTATGCCTGGGTGGAGAAGCACTTCGGCCCTGACTTTCTGGAACAGATTGTGTTGACCAGAGACAAGACCGTGGTCTCTGCCGATCTTCTCATAGATGACCGGCCGGACATCACAGGCAAGTAGTCTCTGGCAGGGGGAGGCTGGGTAGCCCTAGTTGCCTTCTCCCTTCTCCCACATACCTCCTGCTGGGGTCTCCTCACCTCACATACCCCTTTACCAGGCGTTTATCAGCACCCAGTCAGAGGCTTCTTCCTGTTGGAAAGGCCTGCCTGCACCCTAGGGACAGGGGGCTACTGGAAGTCAGAATGTCTGTGCCTTTACCCAGACTTAGTTTACTCTGTTGACTCTCCTGAGTGAAGAACCCAGCTTTGATTTCAAACCTTTGTGTTTAGTAGCTCCCTGCCCCCTCTTCCCCTCAGGTAGCGCATGGCAAGTCTGTTACATAACAGGAAATCACAGTATGGGCCATGGCTGCCAGTGCCTTGGGCAGTGCATTTGTTCTTTTTTCGGCTCCAGCTAATGACCCCTTCCCAGAAAACAAGCAAGCTGGTAGCTTGGCTCACTTAACTGACACGGTAGGGTGGAGGGAGGGCTTCGGGCGTGTGAGGTTTGGGAGTTCCATTAGTCAGCCCACACTGTTCATGCCTCCTGGATGTCTTCTGCCTGGTTTTGCCGCACCGTGGGCAAGCTGTTTCCTCCTAGTAGTTCTTTGGAGTTGCAGGTAACAGCTTGTTCTGGACACATTGGTAGGAAAACAGTTTCTTCCCTGGCAAAGTCTTCCAGAGGCTTAGGGCAACATGACCCGTGGGCTTCAGCCACAGGAACTAGTAGGTCGTCACTTCAAAGAGGTTGCAGCACAGTATGGAAGGAGATTGGTACTAGTAACTGCAGGGCACACAGTCCTGGGCTTCCCACTTAGGTGGTTGGCCAGGCCAAGCAGTGGGTGGTGACAGCCCCATCAGCCATCTCCATGTGGCCTGCTTCCTGCGTGTTGCACGGAGCACCTTGTGCACGGCACCTTGTTTTACCCTCATGCCTTCTGTAGGGCAGGCTAACAGAGCAACCCTTTGCAGACAGAGGAACTGAGTCAGGAGAGGCACAACACCTGCTGGTGGGGCTCATGACTGATCCTAGGCTTTGCACTGAGGCCCTATGTCCCTCTACAGGGGCCGAGCCACACCCCAGCTGGGAGCACATCCTCTTCACCTCCTGCCATAATCATCACCTGCAGCTGAAGCCCCCTCGCCGGAGGCTGCACTCGTGGGCGGATGACTGGAAGGCCATCTTGGACAGCAAGCGGCCCCGCTGAGGGCTGCACTGCGGCTCATGACTGGACAGCAAGCAGCCTGCTGAGGAGGGCTGTGCTGCAGCTCCCTGGCATTTCCTGGAGGACCCAATGGACTCCTTGATCAAGACAACCTCTCACACACTCCCCTTCCTCTCCTGGCCCGGTCCTTGACTTGATCTTGAGGCAGGGCTGGGAGAAAGGCATTTGCTTCCCGGCAACTTGGCCTAACCTCAGGCAGGGGCCGTGCCACTGCCTCCCACTGCTTACAATAGGGTGTTCTCTAAGGAACGGAGGGGCCCTGGTTCAGGATCTGTGGCCTTTGCAAGGTAAAGACTGCAAGGGACAGACAACAGAGGGTCCCCTGGCAGGCATGTGCCCTTCCACCTCCAACATGGCACCTTGTCCAACTTGCCCACTTAGTCTCTTCTCTCCTCCTGGCGTTCAGTGGCCACCAGGCTCTCTTGGAGGCCAACAGTGACCCTACCTATGGCTAGCTGTGGTCTCTTTCTCTGGTGTCCCTAGATCCTATTCACGGCCCAGCGAGGAGTCAGCAGGTTTGATTATTTGTTGACCATGTGAGAAACAAATACTATTCACATGTAGCTGCGGCCTTCTCTAACACCTGCCCAGGATGATCTCGTGTCCACCGACCTGTGATGTAAGCATCTGGGAGTCCCCCACGGGCAAACAGAGGTGGGCATCGCTCTCCTTTGTGGTCCTCATGTGGTACCACATGGGCGCAAGGGCGAAATGGCCCAAATGGTAGCACGCCTGGCAGCCCGATGGCTTCTTCCTCAAGCCCAGTTCCTTACCCATGTTCTAACCCTGAGTCAGGCACAGGGCCCTTCTCTTCACGTCCCCCAAGGCCAAGTTTCCATAGACCTAGAAGCTGCTGTCACATCCTCAGCGTGTGTTCCTTTTGGGCTGGATCCTTGGGAGGTGACACTTGAACCAGCCACCCCCCAGCTGTCCCCTTGAGAAGACCAGCTGCATTCTCAGAACCCTTGTCTGAGATGGGCATGATGACACACCTGCCTTCCCGGCACTTAGGTTGGCGCAGGAGTGTTGCTGTGGATTCAAGACCAGTTAGGGTTGCATAGCAAAGCCCTGTCTAAAAACATTAAAAACCAGGACCCCAGTTTGTTTCTTGGCCTTCATACTATGCCTTCAGCACCCGTGGCAGGTGATCTTCTGACTGCCTAGGGACCAGGCTAGGTGGACAAAAGAATGTGGGCGAGAACCCTGCGTTCAGAGCTGGCCAGGAATGCCATTTCCCATTTTTTGTTTTAAGAGCTCATTTCTGTCACCCAGGCTAGGTAGGGAGGTCCAGGACATCCACCACCTAGTCTGGAGAAGGATGCCCCAGGAGTCCACTGCGTGAGCCCCTCTTGACTTGGCCTTATGTAGCTTACCATGCTACCACTCCACTGTTATCCCTTAGGCTGGTTGGGGGCCCTGCCAGTGCCGTGCTGGAAGCGTGGCAGTTGTGTCTCTTGATCCTGGAACTCTGACTCAGGCAGGGCTGCTTCTGGTGATGGCTGACCTGGGGGCCTGGAAGAAAGCCAGTCCCTGGAGTGTGGGCGCTGTGCCTGCTCCAGAGACCCTGTGTTATCTGACGTAAGATCTCACTCCCGCAAGCCATCTATGCAGGACCAGTAAACAGTGTGATAAATGAGGTGGATGAACTCATTCCTGTGACTCCTGCTGGCTGGGCCTGGCTCTCTCTTTCCTGTCAGCTATACGGCCTGCTTTCCCGTGATCCTTGTGCTGCCGAATGCCAAGTCTCCTCGTCGAGTGACCTGGGCGGTCTGGAGCGCTGCAGCCTCCAGCCGTCGCAGTGAGGGAATTCTCTTTGCCTGTGACCTTCAGTGATAGGTTGGGGATGGTCTGTCATGTACCTCCTAAGTACCTGAGCTTTTGCCAAGCCAGAGGTCACAGCAACAAATGAGGGTCACTCAGCCCTGCCTTGAAAATACTGTGATTCTAGTTCAGGGGACAGAAATCAGTGCAGCTCGTTGCTATCGAGTCTGCCCTGCCAATGACGGACAACCCTGCTGTCTTAGTGAAGGGTACTCTTGCGATGATGAAACACCATGACCAAAAAGAAAGTTGGGGAGGAAAGGGTTTATTTGGCTTATTCCAGTTGTAGTCAGTCCATCACTGAAGGAAATCAGGACAGGAACTCAAACAGGGCAGGAACCCGGAGGCAAGAGCTCATGCAGAGGCCATGGAGGAGAGCTGCTTCTGGGTTGCTCCTCATGGCTTTCTCAGCCTGCTTCCTTATAGAACCCAGGACCACCTGCCCCATCAACGGGCCAGGCCCTCCTCCATCAGTTACTAAGAAAATGCCCTACAGCCAGATCTTATGGAGGCTTTTTCTCAGTTGAGCTTCCCTCCTTCCATATAACTCTATCTTGTGTCAAGCTGACATAAAACTAGCTACCACAACCGACCCCTTGTCAACTTGACACACAAATCACTGTTAAGCCATAGCCCTTTCTTTCTTCTCCATCCCCAAGATTACACATTAATATGGACCTCACAATATAAAATATTTCAAACTTAAAAGCCCCACTGCCTTACAGTTTCGAACATTTACAATATCCTAAGTCTCAACCATGGACTCCTATAAAATAAAAAATAAGGTTTTTTTTTTTAACTTTAAGAAGGAAGAGCCAGGGCATAGTCATAACCTGAACAAAACTCCAGCTTTCAAAACTCGGTATCTAAAGTCTGGGATCCACTCACGGTCTTCTGGGCTCCTCCAAAGGGCCTGGGTCACTTCTCCAGCTCCGCCCTCTGCAGCACACACAGCTAGTCTTCTAGGCCCCTGCTGGCTCCACTCCACTGCTGCTGCTGGTGATCACTCGATGGTACTGGCATCTCCAAAATGCTGGGGTCTTCTGCTGCATCTGGGCTGCACTCTCACCAATAGCCTCTCCTGGGCTCTCTTCGTGGTGCCAAACCTCACCTTTCTCCACGACCCCTTCAGTCATGAGGCTTCCACTGGTACTCCAGCTGCACCATCACCAGTGGCCTCTCCTGGTCGTTCACAGTGCCAAGCTTCAGCTGCTCTCCACGACCCCTTCATTTCTTCAGAACTAGTAGCATTTGGGAGACTCTTACACACGACCCAGTCTGACTGCCAGCACAGGGCCCAACCCTGGCCGCCTCTGGAACAGGGAGAGCTTCTGTGTGCTGGCTCCGAGGAAACACTTCCAGAAGACTTCACCCAGGCGAGACTGGTCTCTTCTCAATACCGCTAATTTCGTATCTCCAGCTGGCCAGCACTGATTATCCCAACAAAAGGAAGGTTTTTTCTTTAGTGGTTCTGGGTCTCTTGTTAATTAGAGCTGATTCTTCAGGCCCTGCTGACCAGACACTGCAGATTCCGCACACAAAGGCTGTCTCTGCTGGATGCTCAGCCATATGGGTGTCCTAAGAAGGGAATGAGATGGTATTAGTCAGGATTTTCTAGAGAAACAGAACAGAGAGAATGAATATATATTGCAACGGGATTTGTCAGAGTAGCCCACAGACCGTGGTCCATCTTGTCCAAGAATCTGATAGTGTTGGGGGGGGTTATCACCTGAGAAGACTACTCAGACTTGGCTTTAAGTCAATGGAAAGTCTGTATTAGCCGACTGGAAACTACACTGGGTGTTCAGGATCCTAGTGTAGCCTCAGCCTTTCTCAGGGTAAGCGTTTAAGCACAAAAACCATGTTCTGGGCTGACATACTTAAGCTAACAAGAATAGCTAGCCAGGAGTGGAACTACAGAAGCCAGAAAGCAAAGTTAGTACGTTTAAAGACTTCCTCAGAACTATATGGACTTCGATGGACAAGAGCTATGTTTTAGTTTTGGCTGGTGGTGCTGTCTACATGCTGAATTTTACAGCCTGAATGGTCTTAGTTGTGCTAACGTCGGGGGGTCTACTCATGTCTGAAGCCCTGTTACAATAGTTGTTCAGTCCATGAGACTGAATGTCTCAGGTAGTCATTGGCATATGGTTGGAATCCCAAAGCAGTAGCTTCCAATACCAGTGTAGGATTGTCACGCAGCAGGACATATGTGCTTGCCAGTGAGTGAGGACAAACACACAAAGAACAAGTTTCCCTTCCTATGTCTTTGTATATAGGCAGTTATCAGAGGGCGTGACCCAGATTCAGGGTGGGTCTTCAAATAATCCAGCCAAGAAGGATCTCTCAGAGGTATGCCCAGCTAGGACTTAATTGATTCCAGATGTAGTATGTTGACAACCAAGACTGGACATCACAATTCCACCCACTGTAAACCTGACACACCATCGTGTCTCCTTACAGCTCGCTTAATTTCCAAATGAAAATGATAACGAGGTCATGTTACACCTGACGTGATATAACTACCCCACGTACAATCGCAAATGCAGCATATGTTTAGAATAGGTGACAATGTCCCTTGAGGAATATTCTTAGTGTCTCATAGCTTAAATATGATAAATCTCAGGTGATGTTATATGATAAAGAAATTGAGGAAAGTATACACGCACACACCTGCATACACACGTTTATGCACAAACGAAATAGAGGAGTACTCAAGTCACTTACACTCCTCACTTCTGCAGCTGTCACACGGCCTTAGCTGGTATTTGTAACTGTCTTCTTCTGTCCATTCTGTGTTTCCTCCACCCTCAGCAAGCCCCTTTTTCTGGAAGAGTGACCTGTACCCTCATTCCTGAAGGATCTGGACCCTTTGCCATCCTGGTGCGTTTGGGTTTTTGTAGTTTCCCACTGACTTCAGCCACACGACACAGTGGCACCAAGAGATGCCCTAAAGCAGCTATTCTCAACCTGTGGGGTGCAACTCTTTTGGGGGCCAAATGGCCCTTTCATGGTGGTTGCATAAGGCCATTGGAAAACACAGATATTTACTTTATGATTCATAACAGTAGCAAAACTACAGTTATGAAGCAGCAATGAAAAGAATTTTATGGTTGGGAGTCTCCACGACAGGAGGAACTGTATCAAAGGGTTGCAGCATTAGGAAGTTGAGAACCACTGCCCTAAAGGATCTCCTGCACTCCAGACGCAATCTTTTTACCTCTATTGTGGAGAAATAATCCAATTTCCCCATGATAATCTGAATCAATCACTCTTCCTAAAACTCTTATTCCTTTCTTAGCTTGTTGGCTTACGGGCATCAGAAGCCCAAAGTGGCCCGGGGGAAGTCTGAGCTTCCAGTTCAAGGGCCTGTTTGCTGTGTCTCCTCGTAGGAGAGCTCCCCCTTGTGGAACCAAACCTTTAAGGCTAGCGGAACTTGGGGTCACAGGAACAGGGAAGCAAAATTTTTCTGTCACTAAGAGTGATAATGAGTGATACCATTCCCTTTCCCACCCCTTGGTTCCTGGACCCCTGGATCCTGGCTATGGGAGAAATCGTACCACCGATTCAAAGCGTATAGTGCCTTCTAGAGAACTCTACCCAGGCCACCTAGTTGACTCTGTAACTGTGTCTTCAAAAGGTCATTCCATCGTTCTATCAGGCCAATGGCGCCGGAATGGTGAGGAACATAGAAATACCAGTGGATCCTATGTCATGGGCCCATTGGCCGTTGTCCTTTGGCTGTGAAGTGAGTTCCTTGGTCAGAAACAATGGTGTGTGGACTACCATGACAATGGCTAAGGCATTCTGTCTGTCCACAGATGGTAGTTTGGGCAGACACATTATGTACAAGAAAGGCAAATCCATAAGCAGAATTAGTATCTACTCCCGTAAGCCTTGACTTTCACAAAGGAAGGGGTCCAGTGTAGCCAACCTGCCGCCAGGTAACTGGTTGGTCTTCATAGGGAATGGTACCATGTTGGGGCTCAGTGTTCATCTCTGAACCTGTATAACGTGCAGAACCATCAGTAAACCAGGCTCTAGTTTTCTCTTCCTCAGTCAAAAACTTATAGGGTGCACCTCATGAGGCTGTAGGTGCATGCTTGGGAGCAGACAGCATTGTTATTCCTATTGGGAATAGGAACTATAGGCATCTGGGCAACTTAGTCACGTAACTTGCTTGTACCCTCAAGACCTGCCCAGGCCCGATCATGTATATACCACTACCATTTGATAATAGATTGATTGCAGTGCGCGTCCTACTTTATGGCTTGATGGTTCAGATGATACCTTTAATCTGACTCGGAAGGCAGATACAGGTGGATCCGAGTTCAAGGCCAGCCCAGTCTACAGAGTGAGTTCCAGGACAGCCAAGGCTGCACAGAGAAACCCCAGTCTACAAAGTTGGGGGGTCAGGGAAGGGAGAGTGGGTGCTGGCTGTCCCAAAAGAACAGGAGGTAGCAACCACTTGTAACCCATACTTGTATCACAAGATGGGAAATAAATCCAACCAAAATTCAAGGCCCTTCTACCTCAGTAAAATTCTTAGGAGTCCTGTGGTGTGGGATGTACAGAGATGTACCTCCCAAAGGGAAGGGGAAGTTTTTGCACCTGGCCCATCACCAAGAAAGCAGCATAGGCCTTAGTGGGCCTACCTGGGATTCTGGAGATAGGACACTCTTCACTTGGGCCTGTTACTCAGGCCTGTGCATGGGAAGCTGCTAGCTTTGGGTGGAGCTTTGACCAGGAGAAGACTCTTCAACAAGTACAGGCCGCTATGCAGGCTACCACACCACTTGGACTGTGTGATCCAGC